TTTGGACCCATAGTGTATTCATAGTTTTAAGTCAGGTGTGACATAATGATTGTAATTCTCTCTGTAAAGTTCACGGAAGTGCTTGTGGATCTCAGTCTCCAGTGGCTGCTAGCATTGGTTTTATTCTATTTAACTCCAGCACACCTAAATTATTTCATTACAGTATTTTTGTACTCTCTGTTATTGAGACCTTGTCACAAATCAGTTGGTTTATATGTTTTAAGTTTTAAGTCAGGTGTGACATAATGATTGTAATTCTCTCTGTAAAGTTCACGGAAGTGCTTGTGGATCTCAGTCTCCAGTGGCTGCTAGCATTGGTTTTATTCTATTTAACTCCAGCACACCTAAATTATTTCATTACAGTATTTTTGTACTCTCTGTTATTGAGACCTTGTCACAAATCAGTTGGTTTATATGTTTTACAGCAATCAACAAGCATTTTTACTAGAGAACGTGCCGTGCAATAACGTGAGCTGCAAGAGCGTCCGGCGCATGTTCAAGGTGTTCTGGGAGCTCTCGGACCTGAACCAGATCAAGGATGCAGTGGTGGCAACCTTCTTTGACATCTATGAAGATGTAAGTTCAGCCCTTAACCCCAGCAAAGAGTGTCCCTGTGCCTGTCCACGTGCTGCTCTGCCCAAGCTGAGACTGGATGTGGCACTTAGTGCCATGGTCTGATAACCACAGTAGGGTTGGACTCGATGATCTTGGAGGTCTCTTCCAACCTGGTTGAATCCTATTCTATGAAACACTGGCTGTGCAGCACAGGGACTGTCCTGGTTAGCTGTGGCTGCAGAACTCTGCCCTAAACTCATTAGGATTGCGTTAATAATGTTTGAAAGATATTAAAGTTAGTGGCAGAGGTGTAAGCTTTGCTGCACAGGATGTTTGTGTCTCTAAGAGAATTTGTTTGCCACATTTGGATGTTAACTAGAGCAAATAAGCATTCTAATTAATCTTGGGTTTTTTTCTTCTAGGGAATCTTGGATATCATTGTGCTAAGCAAAGGCTACTCCAACAAGGACTTTGCTATCCACACATTAAAAAACAACTTTGAAGCAGATGCCTATTTTGTTAAAGTTATTGGTAAGTTTTCACTGTGTAATCAAGTCGAAATGGGATGTTGAGAAGAATGAATATCTGGGGCTTTGTGTATGGAAATATTATGGTAATGTTCTGTGTATGATCATTTTCAAAAAGAAAACAACACAGCCTAGAAAACAGTGGGGATTGCAGAAACCTCTCACTGCAGCATCTGAGCTGGGATACATTTTGTTTCTTTTCAAAGGGTTTTTTTTAAAATTTTCATTTACTCATTAAAACCCAAAGTATTTCTGATCACTATTTTCAACACTTTAGCTGTTTTTAATGTCAGCATTGGCCACAACATTTTAATTAATGTTCATCATCTCTTGAGTCTGTATTTTTTACAAGAACTTCACTAAGCTAAAGCTTTCCTTAGTGTCCTGGACCTTTCCTTCTGCATCCCAGCAAAATTCTACAGACAGATACTAAGTCTTTAAACACCCATTTCTAAGGTGGCTTCTGAAGGGAAAACAGCAATTATCTAGTGTTTAAAAGTATGTTCTGCAGGGAAAAGGCACATGGAGCCAAGTCATTCAGCCCAAAAGAGAAACCTAAAGAAGATCCATGTCTTCAGTCCACAGTGATGTGAAACAAGGGCGAGTGCTGTGTGTAGGATATAACAGACAGTGACAGACTCCAAAGGGTAAATAGGAAGAATAATTTCCTAAATGACAGCTAACTGCAGTTAGCAGCATTAGAGGTCCTAACAACTAGATCAAGAAATTATGTTGTGTATTTAACTGGTGCTGAGGGTAAGGATTGGACTGGCTGAACATACGAGGCCCATTCTGTACAGTGCCTTCACCTACCTCCTCACAGAACATGGGGCTGTCATTATAAAAATGCTGATAGATACACACTTCTCTGTCACTCAGCATGAATGTTATTATTTTAGTTGTGTGATGCTGTTTAAAATCTGGAGGCAGATGAGCTCGTGATTCACTAATATGAGGAAAAAATACAATGCTGTTTGCACATAGAAATAGTTGTGCCAGAGTGAGACAGAAAGGGGCCCAAAGAAATGATGCCAGCAGTGAGTTGAAGGCCTGTGCTTTGCTTGGCCACAGTGACTGCCTTTTGATCTTGCCTGTTCTCAGAAACCTAGACAAAAACCAACAGCCAAGGGCACTTACTTTCATCTGGCCTTGAGTGGTTCTGGTGTTTTCCTCCAGCAGGGACCTGTGTGGTTTTGGCTGTACCTCTGCTGTATCCAGCCTGCTTTGCTGGAGTTCTCTGCCATGTGGAAGTGGTGCAGAATCTAGTTCAGAATGGGCTGATTTCATTGCAGTGTCTCCTGGCCTGGTGGATCTTGGGCTGACACTGTGTGATGTGTCCCGAGGGTCAGTCAGTGTGGTGTTTGCAGCCTAAAAGCACCATGTGGCCCAAAACCTTAAAAGCACAGAAAGGCAGTGCCCGTGGCCAGGGCGTGGGAATTAATGAGACTTGCTTTAAAAGCCTAGAGTTAGGTTATGATATTGGTAACTAAGAGTAATTAGGTTTTTTAATTGCATGCACTGCCGTGTTCTGCAGCTGCAAAGGTGTTGAGCTTTGAGCTCATTGTCTGTCTGCCTTGATTTTTTTTGGTTTTTTTGAGAAGTAGTGAAAAATGAGACTGTACGAGAGTCTGTGAGGACAAATCTCAACAGGAACAACGAGAGGTTCACCTTCAAAAACTGTATTTGCCTCCATGTTATTTAAATGCATCTAATCCTTCTAAAGCACATTGTGCACCCCCTGAGACAAACAGGACTGCAGTTACTGCTGGGGGCTGATGCACTCAGTGCTTTCTCCTTAGCATGCAATAATTTGTCATGTTGGTGGAAGTTTTCTTTTAAACAATGCCACGTATGGGTAGCAAAATTCACAGATGCATGCAGAAAATCCTCTGGAAAAAAACTTACACTTCACAAAGCCATATCAGGATTATAATTGTGTGGTGTTTTAATGGAGCAAGGAGTAATTTGCTCCATGGTTTTTGATTCACTCTGTGTAAATCTGTCTTAAAAAGTGGAGCAAGCCTTTTTTTTAGCACCCTTTTAGGTGAGTATTTTTGCATATAAACCACAGGAAATGGGAATTAATGAGTGTCTAAAAATATTTTTACTGTGATACAGGGGAGACTGTTTCCCACAAAATGTGCTTTGTGTGAGTTAGTGTCTCAATAAATGCATTGTGTTCACTTATTTGGCATGTGGACAATGAGAACAGCTTTGCTCATTATAACTGATGTCAGATGTACTTGCTCAGGTAATTTGTTCCAGGAGTGAAACTGAACAGCAAATTTCAGTGTGCCCTTTTGCATCAGAATGGGAAGAGCTGCTTCCACTTGCAAACACACCTATGTGGAACAGATAAAAGCTTTAATAGTCTGTTTGGACTTAGATACAGGCCTCAAATTCTGCTTTGCCACACATTCATCTTACCTGTCCAGATTTTGGGGGGTTTGGGCTGTATCAAATACTACATTTTACTGTATTTGCAAATTTCAACATTTAGAAATCGCAAGCTAAGAATGATAATTTGGGAATCTTGACAGTTGTTAATATTCAGCCACAAAATATTAGAAAAATGCCTTCACTAGAGCAGTGTCATTTCTGACTCCTGTAGGGAATGATTTCTCATTGGACTGTGAACATCTTCCGTGCACTTTTCAGCTCTTTAACTGGCCCCAAACATTTTGTACCCTAAACTCTAAGGAACCTTAAAGGAGATGGAAAATGCTTTAAAAACCTCCTGGTGGTTAGGATGACCTGCCCTCAAATCTGGTGCAGATCTTCATTCCTGTCTGCCACACTCACTTTGGGATCCCATAATTCCTGGAGCAGTAATGTTTCTCCTTGGTGTGTCTCCTCTCCCTGCCCACAGCCGTTTTTGACCTGCTGCTCAACCAAACTGTTGCCACGAGAAGTCCAAGTTTTGCATCAGTGACACCTGAGATTATTCTGTGTGTGGTTTTTGTTGTTTGTTCTAAGCCTTGGGGTGCCAGGTTAGGGAACAGATGGCTTGCATTGTTTGCCATTTAGCTGATTAACATTGAATGTAACTGATTTGTGAAACTAGTAAGTTTTAAACAAGTAATTGAACAACTGTCACAGGCTTCAGGTATTAAGGAGCATTATACACATCTGCTGATAGTATTTTTGGATTAATAAACAGGTAATGGGATTTTTGTTACAGCTTCTGTGAATTGATTTAAATCAAGTTCCCAAACTTATCCCTTGTATGGAAGGAAAAGCCTTTACCTTTTTATCAGTTAGAACAGTAGAGCTGGATCTCTGCCAGGATTTTAAATGGTTAGAAATGAAGGCTGATGAATAAAATGTGCAGCCCACTACTTCAGAAATGTTTGAATTTTAAATTTGCCTAAGTGAAGCTGGTTAACAATGAGGTTGGATACCACAGCAATCAGCTGATCAGTGTCTGCCAAGAAATATGCCTCAAACAGATTAGGGAATGTTCTGCATTACCATGAGTCATGTAGAAGACATTATTTCCTTTGTGTTTTAATGGATACCTGACACTATTCCTAGCCTTTGCCAGGTTTCAGAGCTAGTGCTGCTAGGATAACATGTGAACATGAACACTACAAACTCCTTCTTGTCTTTGCAGTTCTCAGTGGCCTCTGCTCTAAGGACTGTCCTCGGAAAATAACAGTAAGTGGAACTCTTTGCATTACTCTTTAGCTTCAAAGAAGCTGAAGTCTAATTATACTAACAACTCTCAACATATTAAAGGAGTTATTGACTGGAGGAATGTGCAATCCAAGTCATGACTGGCCAAGTTCTGCTTCTGTCCAGTTCTGACTTCCAGTTAGCAAATTGTTTAGCAATATTCACAGTACAAGTTGCCCTGGAAGAGGCACTTAGAGGAATCAGAGCTAGTAGTAGCTTCAAATGGGACCAGCTTTGTCTTCAAGCCTATTTTAAGAGCAAGGCTTTTATTTCTGTTATAAAATAATGAGGCTTGATAGTATTATTAGCTTAATTATGAAAATAAAGAGAGGGTTTAAAAAGCAAATCTTCACAACAAATGTTACTGAATGTTATCAAGATCACTGAAACACTATTACCTCCACTGTAATAAAGGTTCTGTCAGAAAGTAACAAAGTATATTATACCAGAATACAGCTATTTGACACCAAAAAAAATGAAATTTTACCTGATTTCCTCATCTCTCACAGACCTGCAGTAACATCAACTTTGTGGCCTCCTTACTCCTCATTCTAATCAGTTGTTATTTTCAGGCTTTGATCTCATGTGTCATCATTATCACTTATTCTTATGGTTCAGAACTTATTCTTTTTTGAAGCATAGCATGAAATGTGTCATCTCTTCTTTTAGTGTTCTTTCTGTAACTTATGTGAGAGATCTTTACAGGGTTTGTTGCTCTACTATCAGCTTGAATTCAGCACTAAAAAAAAAGGAAAACTTCATTTAAAAATCTGTTTTACAGATGTCCCATCCTCTCCCTCCCCCACCACAGCAGGTAATTGTCCCCTGCCCCTTCTCACTTAGGTACATTTGTTATGGTTCATCACTCAGTAACACACAATTCTCTTGGATTGATTTTTTTATTTATTTATTTATTTTTCCCCCATGACTGTACTTTGATGTTTAAGTACATTTTCTCCCTCAAGAGAATTTGCTTAAAATAGATACCAGTACTCCCCAAGTAACTCTTCCTTGACTTTGATGAATTAAATGAGACCCTGCTAAATAGTGATAAAAATATAGGAATTTGTGTCGTATTTTTCACTTCAGAAACACCATCAAGATAGTGCAGTTCTCTCAGACAGTATCAAATGAGTTCTGCTTTTTCACAACATGCAGTTACTTCTTTGAATTTTCAGGGGGGTTTATTTCACTTGTAGCTTCAAGGGAACATTAAACCTTTTGCCAGAGGACTGAATAGTGTTGTTTTCCTCATGAGAAAAATGTTACTTAGCCAACTGATTACCCTTATTTTGAAAATGAATTTTCACATAATACTATGACCAAAACATTTCTGAGATGTTGAAATTGCAATATATTAAAAAAATCAATGTAGAAACACTTTTCTTCAGTTTACTGTTTACTTACTGTAGCTTTGTCTGTTCCTAAAGTGTGACTTGACTTTTTCTTGTTTCCTCCCCTTGTAGCCCTTTGGAGTTAACCAGCCTGGTCCTTACATCATGTACACCACTGTAGATGCAAATGGGTACCTGAAAAATGGGTCAGGTAAGATAATCTCATCATGGGAGTACACATGACTTATATACACATCTCTGTAATATTCTTCTCAAGAACCTAAAGAGTCAGAAAGTTAACAGAGTGCAATGGGAATGGGTTTTTTGTCCTCAGTTTGCAATGTCTTCCTTTACTTATTGCATTTTTGTTATAAGCCCTTCTAACTGCACTGGTTTTCCTCTTTTTCTGCCAGTTGGGTTTGAACAGTTGACTGCATCTTGCCCAGTCTGGACAAACATTGGGTACAGTATCATTAGTTTGTGAAATGGCACAAGCTTCTACTGATTTACTCTTTCTATTAGTTGCTAAGCAATAATGTATTAAGAAACAACAGTGGCCTTGAAATACCTAAATGGAATCATATTAGTCATAGGAAGAAGGATCAGGATTATATTCAGTAAGCACAGGATGTGTTTGTCTGGAGTTGTTCACTACACCTGGGAGGCTAACAAAATAAAATCAGGAGTAGCCTGAGGAACCCAGAGAGGGAATGGCTGCATCCCTTCAGGCAATGCAGCTACTAGAAGGTATCAAAGAATCATAGGTAACAGGGTCAAAGTAAATGGAAAGGATTGATTTGTGCAACTTGTGGCTTTACTAGTGGTTTAGTCACCTGGGATGAGGCAGATGCCACAGTTTGCATGAGTCAAAATCAAAGTAGGCAAAGAGAGAATTACCCATTGGGCCATGGTCCAAGCAGTGCCTGATGCTAGAATATCCTTAGGTTGGTTTTGCCTTCCTAAGTATGTCTTAGTGACTCCTAGAAAACAGGTGACTGAGTGGTCTGTGAGTCTAACTCATGACTGTTGATCTTAGGACTATAATGGACTCACTTCTTGCTTGGGTAAAAAAATCCCAAACTCCCAAGCTGAAACATGATCAGAGTGTGCAGGTCTGTAAGTGGTGCACTGACTCCTTCCCCTGTCGCCTGCATCTGTCACTCTGGGCTCACTGCAAATTAAACCTGGATTTAAAGGTTCCAGCAGCTCACTGGGAAGTCTGTTCTGTGGAACACTAATTCAAACAGCAGCAATCATGTAGGGGGGAAATGCTGACATGTTAAGGTCCTAAATCAATGGTAATGCTCTCCCCTTGATCAGTGTGCTCAGGAGTGTTAATGCCACCCTAGAAAAAGCAAAGAGAAAGGTGCTGTCCTGACATACAAACCAGACAGCTGCACAAACATATCCTGATATTCTGTAGCACCTCTGTATTTGTACATGCTTAAATATGGGTTTGAAAGCTTGAAAGTATTAGCCTACATTTTAATCAAACTAGTAGTTAATGCTAACAAGTGAAAACACAGAGTATTTTTTCTGATTGTTGCACAGGTTGATTTTAACAAACTAATTTCCTGCCAGTTGTCCCCTCAGCTTGGCTGCTCTGGAGGTTTTCTCATAAGCTGCATTTGAAAAAGCTTACATGTTTAATTGGAGACACTAAGAAGCCAGGAGGAGTCCAGAGATGTTTAGTTACACTGCAGTTAGACTCTGCCCCGTGCCCTCGGGCTGGGAACGCCTGGCACAGCTCCTTAGTGCCAATTTCCAGGATGAAGCTTTGCAGGCTTTGTCAGAGCCAAGTCACAGTACAGCCTGTCTTGTTAACTAGATTAGAACAAACTGGTAAAGGTCTGCAGAGGATCTCTCTCCTTATCCCTCAAAAGCTTCAGTTCCTGTGGATGGCAGAGTTTGCTCTCTTTGTGGTTGTTTCTGGTCTCTGATAAACTGAATCCACTGGCTGACTCAGGCCAATTCAGCTGGAGCATGTGCCTCAAATAAAACCCTCCCAGTTCTCTAGAAGTCAGCCAGACAGGACACAAACTAGCACATGAGGAGAAGACCTGAGTGTGAGATGAGCAGTTTGTTGGTGTGGTGCTGTCCCTGGGCTGGCCATATGGTCAGCATGGGGCAGCACAGTTAGCCACAGCCTGCAATGCTCCTGTCCAAGCAGGGACACAGGAGTGTGGCAGGACAAAGCTCAGTGCTGTGTCTGAGGGAACAGAGGATAAGGCTAAAGCTGCTGCAGGATTCCTATTCAGACATCCCTGGTTTCACAGCTTCTACCCCATTTTTATGGCATTTTGCCTCAGAACAGGTTTCTAGAGATTGCTACTGTATTATCCATAGTCCTTGAACCTACACTGTTCAGCCTTTCCTCTTCTGTTCTCACTGTCTGGTTATCTTGGGCTTTCCCCTCTTTTTGCTACCATGTTGTGCATTGGCTGCAGAGCATAATTTCTGATAGGACACTGCTAAGACCTGCACTGTTGAGTACAAACCATTTTGTTGTGCCTATTCCTTTTTTGAAAGACATTTGAGTCCTTGTTTTTTAAAACAACTAAAGTAGGAACAGTTTGGAATGCACTGAATGTCTTAGTAAAGAGTGAAAAGACTTCCACAAACTTCTGAAATAAGGATTGGAGGTCACTAATCTTCTCTGTGCTGTAACTATATTTGCAGTGTCCCTCTAGGATTTTGGGACTACCTTGGAAAATGGACCAACTGATAAAGCTGCTGGCAGAGTTACTTCAAACTCCTATGAATTCCTCCCTACAAACTTTCTTTGCAGGCTGGCACTAGAAGGTGGCTGAGAGCATTCACTGGGTGGGTTTGAAGGAGTGCAGTGTGTTTGTTCCTCCAGGCTCACTGCAGCCTGCCAGAATTTGGTGCACCCCTGTGAACATAAGCTAAGGTAATGACAGCACAGCTTCCTGGTGCCTTTGGCCCTGTGACTTGTGAATCACACTCATTATCAAAGACTCAGCAGTGCTGATGAGTAACTCTGTTTGCCTAAAGTAACAAAAAAGACATTTTTGCCTAAGAAACACATTAGTAAAACCATCAAACTGCCCTTTTTTTTTGTTCTTCGTTAGGGAAGTGCTATAAAATGTCTATAAATCAAAAAAACCCAACACAACATTTGCTTAGGTCTAATTATACTCAGTTAAATTCATTGTTGATGTAGTCAGAGAAGCTTTTAATTCTTGCTTCGTATCTGTAATTAACACAACCTCAGAGTGAAATGTGATGTAAGTGAAGCCAGACTGAAGTGTGGCATTTCTGCAGGATCCATGCTGCTTTTTAAAATAGTGTTTGTGCAACTTGATGTACTTTCAACCAGGAGCTGATAGAATAATGGATTTGTGGGACTCCTGAGTGCACAATACCTACTGAAAGGTTAATTTACAACAGTGCAAACTCATGCTAAACCCTTTGAGGAAGTACAAGCTTAGGTGGGTTTGCTTTGTGTATGTTTGACCCTCTGGTACTTCATCCTTAGGCAAGTTTAGAGAATAACCCAATGGCAAAACATATTTTTCTTTCTCTATGTCACAGAACAATGCACATAGCTTAAAAAGTCCTTATATAGCTTAACTTTTGGACCTATTTTATGTATCATTTTCTTAAATTTTTTTTCTCTGGTTCTCTCCTTCAAGAATACAAACGAGTACATTTTTTTCTCTAACATTATCTTTGGGGTTTCCTGAGGTTGGCTGGCTGTGGCTTTGCTGTTTGTTTGGGTTTTTAAGGGAGGGCAGTGCTTTTAGAAATGCAATGTTTTTACAATTTACTCTCAGAGCTATCAAATATGATTTCATACTGCAATATTACCTTCACTGCTAACATATTTACAAGAATAAAAACTTAATGGAGTCCAGACATGATGAATTTCCTTTTCTGTTTTGACGTTCTGAAATAGCAGTAATGAATTCCAAGTGCATTTATGACCCTGGCAGTGTTGCTGCAGGGGATTCTCTAATGCTCTCTTTGATCAGTTTCTCAGCTCTAATAAGTTAATAGTTTTTTTTGAGTCTGTAGAATTCCTGCAAGAACTTCCCAAAGTCACATTTTTCTGAAGATATTACATTAGGTTTGTACTTAGACTTTCTTGTTTTGCAAGTGTTATTTGTAAAGTTCAGTAAATGTTCTAACTGGAATTACTGGCCTACAGGTTGTTACCTTGAAAAACAGCCCATTACACCAGAATCCTATTCCATCCAACTATCAAGAAATGCATCAAGCAACACTTTTTATGTGTACTGGTAGGCAGTACCAAACCCACATGGCATTTTTGGGCCACATATAAACCTACAAAACATCTTTCCCTCATTGAGCTGTTAAAGTTCTGGCATCAATATCCTATTTTAAAACTAATTTTCATCAACTTATTTGCATTCCTTATATAATATTATGGAATGATCCATCTCTGAAGCTTTTAATGACCTGAAAGAAATAACAAGATAAGCAAATATATAAAATAATTAATCCCTTTCCCAAGAAGTAACATAGCAACATAGTTCATTTTCTAATGAAAACAAAACTCGTTATTCCTTTTTTTTTTGTGTGTGTTTGTGTGTCCCCAAGTCAGGTGGTGCAATTTATTGGCTTTAGAGCTGTTCCCAACAGGGGAACAGTTCTTGGTTGCCCCACTGACACCAGTCACAGCCACCTGAGGTTCTCCCCCCAGTGTCAGAGTCCTCAGAGCTGTGTCCCCCATTCTGCCTCTGATCTCCTACATTCTGCAGGACTTGAGCTGTGAGTTACAGTGACTTTCATGTAGGCAATATTCGTGCAAAGAGTAAAATAAAAAGGCCCATATGGTTGTCCTTATCGAATTCATTTTAAGGTTCTTTGATCTGCCAAGCCTTAACGACAGGAAATTTGCATAATTATGAGGGGTTTTTTTAAAAACATTGTTAGAATTGTTCTCCCTCCTATTAACATTCCAGCATGTTGTTAAAAGATAGCAGAATAATAATTAGTGTGTATTCTGTGCTTTGACTTCCACAGTGCTCTCGATTCACTTGTAATCTCACAAGGAGAAGTGCTGTTAAATTAGTGGCACAGAGTAACAAGTGCCAACAGGAGCATTGGAATGGAGGGGTTTTGGCCCTTCTCTGGTTAATATTGCCACAGACCTTCTCTCTTGGAGAGGAAAATCAGCTCCAGCAACTTCAGATTTGTAAGGAATTTGATGCCTGAGATCAGGTTGGGTCCAGGTGTGAGTCTGGGAGAGGTACACAAACTCAAACTGATGCTTTCAGACCCTTTGCCTGTGTTCTGCCTCTCCACTCCCCATTTGCAGTTGGTATTTTTGAGGAGGTCCCACAGTTCAGTGTGGGTGTCAGCCAGGATTTTCAGCTCTGCATCTGCATTTCTAGGCTTTGATGGGCTCTGACTGGGAGAAGATCTCCTGTTTCAGCCTGTGCTATCTTCACTTTCTCTCTTGGGCTAACAACATGCTGATAGAGCTTGAACTAAATAGGGTCATAATTGCAGCTTGTGTGTACCCAACATCTTCCTCCTGAGGGCCAGGAACAACAGAACAATAAATGCTTCAGGTTTACTCAGAGGTCCCATGTGTAGGCATAAGGTGATGGAATGGAGTTCATGGAATGGCTCATATAGATCAAGTCATGATTTGTTTAAGCATCTGAGTGGCTGAAACTGTTTGGGCCGGTGGCCTCTGCTGCTCTCCTTTCAGAGCTCTTTCATTTTGCTGGTTTTGCTTTGTTTTGCTTCAAACCTCCCATGGCAGAATGACCTTTCACATGCTGTTAAGTCCTGCCCTTCTGGTTTTTTGAAATCTGCTTACTCTTCCCTGTCGTTGCATTGAGTTCTCGTGCTGTTTAACTAAATTGAATTGTGAGGTGAACACAAATGTCTAGCAGCTATTATAGTCATGAATTTAAACATAAACATTGCAATATGTACTAGACAAAAGCAAAATAAGCTTATTTTCAATGGCCATTTGACACTGCAGGGCTCATTGTGTAGAGCTGCACTATATAGAAAGCAGAGTGTATTCATGGAACAGGCTGGAATAATTTCATAATTGAATAGCTGCATTTGATCAGGAGGGATTTGCTGGTTGCTGAAGGTGGGAATACCCTGCTAGTATGTTTTTCTGTATAACTCTCTTTTGGTTAGTAAACTAATTTGAACTTGTAATGCTGCATGTAATAATAACAAGCCTCAGATATTTGGGCAGTGCAGATGATACAACTTTCCCTTGTGCATGTGGTTGGAATATCAGCAATATGATGATCTTACTGTTTGAGGGGTTTTAAGGAGTTTCTAGTTTTACTTCTGGAATTTTAGAGAGAGATTTTTCATTAAAATGCACACCCTCACACGTGCCAGGTTTGGAGTTTGAGCTGTCAGAAGTATCAGGGGTGTCAGGGTCACAGTTGTGCACCTTGAATCCCCTTTTCCATGTTATTTCTGGAATTTCTTGGTTCAGGACTTGTGTGCTTCTCAGATGAGCAGTTGTCATTCTTAATTGCTTGGTTGCAATTCTAAGTGGAACATTTCAGTAGCCATCAAACAGAATTTGCCATGGATATAGGGGGAGTAAAGCAAGAAATAGTCTGAGATCTCCTATGCTTAGTCAGCTTTAATGCAAACTAGAACCTTCTATGTGCTATCATCCTGCTCCATGTTAAAGGCAAACAAAAAATAGGTATGTGCACATTTTCTGCCTGCTGTGTACAAGAAAACATTCCCTTCTGACCTTTGCAAATGATCTATTTGCATCCTGAAGCATCAGATTTCATTATCCTTATCTTCGTAGGCATAAGAACCAGTGTTAGTAGCCATGAAATTACTCAGTGCTTTTCAGAATTCTGGCTGCAGTACCTGACTCTCTAACCTCTTCAAGGCTCACTGCACACAGTCTGTGGCATTTTCTTCTATTTCCTTTAATTTAGTTGACATTCATTTCATTCATATGATGAAAGAAAAAAGCAAGATCCTGGTCTTCTCGTAATTCTAAATATTTCACTCAGAAGTAATTCTCAAAGCTTTTCAGTGTTCTTTTGGGAAAAGTCCTTCAGCATTAGTGAAACACATTGAAAAAAGAAAATTCTCTATTATATTACAGTGTGATCAAGTGACACATACCTTGTTTGTTTGTGTTTATAACTGAGGCAAATTCAATTAAGCCACCTTTGCTCCTTGCTGCTTTTATGTTGGTAACCAGAGCTCTCGGGTACATGGTACTTACTCTAATTTGAGAATTCCTCATGTTTTAGTTCTGGAAATTGACACTGAGAGACTTAGCAATGTAGCCAAGATCATGTCAGGGAAGTCAGTGACCAAGTGGGGACAGGCTCAGGACTCAAGGCCTATATGGTTATCTCGACTTACTGGAAAAATCCCCATTCCTGAGGAGGAAAACCTCTTGGACAGTGAGAAATTCAGCCAGCACTGTACACAGCAGCCCCTGCCCTCACTGCAGAGGGCTGAGAGTACAAAGGCAGTTTCAATATTTCCATGTCTGCTTGCTCATTACATGGTTCTGCGTGGGGGAAAAGGAAACCTAAGCTATGTATAACCCTTAGGAAGATTGTTACTATTCCTTTCTCCAACAGCATTTTAGCTTAATGAAAAGCTGACTGGAGATCTGTATTTATTTGACATTTATAATCCTTAGGAAGATTGTTACTATTCCTTTCTCCAACAGCATTTTAGCTTAATGAAAAGCTGACTGGAGATCTGTATTTATTTGACATTTATCTTGCTTTTAAAAATGAAATCATTATAGCTCTAAAAGTACAATAATACAGAATATTTACCTCCTGATTACACAGGCCTGTTTCAAAACATGCCTGGCAGCATATGGCAAACTGCTTCCTTGGAAGCCTGAAGTAATCATGGTGCTGACCAGTAACCATGGTGCTTCAGAATTACCATCCTCCTAGGCAGGAAGGAGTTTGTTCCACAGCAGAGGGTACAAGAGCTGCCTCTGGGAGTAGGTGTCTTACCCTGGTGGTCCCTTGGTGTGGCAGATGCATGCTGACACTTCCCAGGGTGGCCAGGAGCCAGGAATGGGGTTTGGGTTTGGTTCTTCTTGAGGGATATTTGGCTTTGCCAAGCAGTGCTGGTGGTGGAAGGGAGGGAGTTTCTCCTGCCCCTCTGTTCACCACAGCTGTGCAAGATGCAGTGCACTATCCTGGCCAACAACTGGTGGTCTGAAGCAAAATCCAGCCTTGGGTGAAAGTGTGGAGAGGGGAAAAGGATTTGGCTGAAAATTCACTACAAAATGTGAATTCTCATTCTCTAATTCATATTCTGTTGTGTTTTGTTGCTTAACTTATTTCCAGTTTCAGGCATAATCTGTCAGTGAATTGTTGGTAGCTGCAGCACTTGTCTGTTTCCCCACTGCCTTCTCAGGAAAACAAGAACCTGATTTTTCCCCTACTGTTCCTCCTTCAATCATTTAGCATTTCAAGCTCTCACTAGGGCCTGACACACAACCACTGTAATCCTGTTTTCATTAAATCAATTTATTATTTGAAAATTTGTTCACTTGGCTAATTGTGTGATGCAGTAGTAATTACTGCTTAACACTTACAAGAATGAAAATCAACCTGCATGTGTTGGGGCTGATCTTGTAAATCAGTGGGGCAAAAGGCTAAACAGTGATCGTGTCAAAGTAAATGTGGAGAGTTGGTTTCATCTCAACTTGCACAAATAATGGAGATTCAGTTTAACAGAGAAATGGTGCTCCAAGAATTGCCTCATCTACAAGTTGAAAGCATTTCAGCTGTTGTATGAGAGCCTATGTGTGGTTGGAAATCTGGGCTAGAGCCTGTAAGCATTACATGAGCACGTGTTTGGTTCAATGTTCCAAACATTTTTATCACTGTGAAATAAGCATTTGTGCAGCAACGTGGTAGTTTGGGGGTTGGTTGTTTGGGGTTTTTTCCCCTAAAATACCTCCTGGGGCTGTGTCTCTGCTTTGGTTTCAGCTGGCCAGCTGAGCCAGTCGGCACATTACGCTCTGCAGTTGCCATACAACGTGCTGGGCCTGGGACGCAGCGCCAACTTCCTCGACCACCTCTATGTGGGCATTCCTCGGCCTCTAGGAGAGAAGGTCAGTTCAGCTTTAAGGCTGTCACCCCAATATGTATGGTGTTACCTGTCCTCATGCAGCTGGGGTGGAAATACTGCTGGGGATGCTTTTCGTTTTCTGAAGAAAGGATATGCTGCTGTTGTGGTCCGAGCTCTAAGGCTTTACCTCTGGCCAGCCTGGAACTCACCTAACCTTTCTGATAAAACTGATCAGTGTGATGGGAGGTGCAGATCACTGTGATTCTCTAATCTTCAGATGAAACACAAAAGTAGGCTCTTCCCCATTTGCAGTCTGTAAAGATCTGATGGTACCACCTGAAAAAGTGAGGTACTGGAATTGGCCAAGTTTTGGGTTGGATAATTGCTTTGCCTGCCTCCTTTGTAGAGTGTGTTCTTTTCTTCTCTCCCTATGATGTAGTTGCTTTGTACTTTTTAAGCAGATTGCTGTGTTTCATGTCAGCAACAGTTGTTTAGCTTTTAACTTCTGGGGTTGTTTTTTTTAAATCAATTTGGAGCTTTCAGAAGAAAAAGGTAAGGGATTAATCACCTATATTTAAAATGAAAAAGAAAACAACTGGTTTGTTGTTTTTCCTTTTGTATGTTTCAACAGAGAATTTCTTTCCTTCCAGCCATGTTGTGTTGTTAGGAATTGACATAGCCTTTGTTTTTCTTTCAGTCCATAAGGAAACAAGAGTGGACAGCTATCATACCCAACTCCCAGCTGATAGTCATTCCTTACCCTCATAACGTTCCTCGAAGGTAAGTTTATCATTTTGATTTGCACTCCACAGAAGTACATTAGTACACAGCATAAATTAGGCATTTCTGTGCAGGTTTAAAAATAGTTCCTGGTATAGAGAGCAAATGGAAGAACAACAGCAGGAGGTCAGTTCTGAGCTGCCTCTGTGCCTGAGCAGAACTTCTCAGCTGTTCACACAGGCTCTGAGGTGGTGCCCATGAACAATCACAGCCTATTACCAGCTCAACTCCTGTAAATAATAACACATTTGCCAGATTTACCAACATCCTTACTGACAAATTGCAAGTGTGGTGCTGGTTGAAGCAAACACTTCTGTCCCACCAAACCTGCAATTTCTGTCCAAGTTGCACAGAAAAGCTTTGGCTCAGCCCTCCTGAGTGCAGGATCTGTGGCTACAGGTAGGAATGTTTTTCTTGAAGTAAGGGTTGGTTACACAAGAGCTTGGACACAGAGTTCACTTTGCAATTAGAATGTTTATCCCAGAAAGAGAGCCTGTTTCTCTCTGTGCTATTAGAGAAAACATTAGTCAACTATTGCAGCTGCTTTTTGCCGCTTGATCTACCAGTGAGGTCAGTCGTGTTTATCATGCAGAAATGATTCTGACATCAGTTTCAGCAGTTAATTTTACTATAGGACAAATAACCACAGAGAACTGATGTGCTGTTTGAGTTGCTAATTAACAACCACAGAAATCACATCTGCCAGATGAAAATTTACTTATATTCTTGAGGTATTTGTTATGCAAAACAATTTCTGTCATCTTATCCTTAGACTACTCTTGCTTTCCTATAAAGTGAATTGATGAACGCTGTAGAATAGCAGAGAATCCCCAGAAGAAATCAGATTTCATAATAAACACTTCTTAATCTTTCTTTTTGACATAGATGTGTGATTTCCTGAGAGGCCTCAGTGGTGCCTTGGCACAGAGCCTGCTGCTGACAGCTTTCCTGTGATGGGAATTCTGTAGCACACAAAGGGTGTTCTCTGGGCTCAGGACCCCACAGCATTTGAGGGATGTCTTCCAGAAGCCCCTAAAGTGCTGAATTTTGTTGCTCTCCTGCATTGTGCTGCCATAATCCACTGGTTATGTTGCCTGCAACTGCAGCTGTCCCTGGGTGAACTTCAGACTGAGAGAGTTGGACCCATGAGCCTGTCCAAGAGGAGCTTCTCATGTAGAGGAAACTATCTTAAGGCTTATTTCCCTCTGCTTCTGCCTGTCCCCAAGCCCCAGGCATTTTTGTGGAAGGATTTCTTATGCATTTTACTTGGTCCTAGGCAGGGGCAGGAGATAAATCTCCTAATTAGGAAAAACTCAGTCCCTGAGGATATCCATAGCATTCCCAAAAAGTTAAACAGAAAGTGCATTTAGACTTGGTGTGACTTGAATATCAGTATATTAAGGCTTATATTTCCAAGCAAACACCATTTAGCTTCAGCCTCTAAGCAGAGCTGCACGTTTCTGGAGACCAAGTTGTTACCTGCCTTACCCTAGCAGCTTCTCTGCATTTTTGTGAGTTAAATCTGTTTTCTGCTTCTTAATGAAGGGTATTAATGTTTCCTTGGATTTCCTTGTTTTGTGCAGCTGGAGTGCCAAGCTCTATCTGACCCCAAGTAACATTGTCCTGCTGACAGCTATAGCCTTAATTGGTGTCTGTGTTTTCATCCTGGCAATAATTGGCGTATTACACTGGCAAGAAAAGGTAAGCCTAATGAACTGGAATATTTTCTATACCATTAAACACCTCTTAATATCTTACAGTCCTGTACATCAAGGGTGGGGGTTGTTTCTCTGTTGTCCTACAGGATAATTTCTGATAGACACTGCATTAATTCCCAAAAGGTATTTATCATTAAGTCAGTATTTACCACGAGTTTAAGAATTGGCATTGTTTTAATTTAAGCTCTAAGACACCTAAAAAGGGAAATGAAGAGCAACATGGATAAGCTTTTTCCATTAAGCTGTTAATTCCAACTTAAATGAGACGTCTTTGTTTCATAGCTAAGCTTTCCATTTTGCAGCTTTAAGGAGAACTGCTTTGGAAAATGGAACATAAACTCAGTTTACTTATCTTGAGTTCTGCTGGTAGTCTAAAAATAAGGAAAATGCCTTTTTTTTTCCCCATATCTATCTTTGCTGATTGCACTGACATTAGCATTCAAGAATGTATAGGGAGTCAATCACGTGCATATTGGCTGCTTTGCTCTGTGGGTCTGAATTATACATGCAGTGTACAGAATTCCATTGATTTGAAGAAGCATTTTGAAAGGGCCTTTCATGTCACAAAAGAAATGCATTCCCATTTTTCTTAACTATACTCAGTTCACAATCATATCCAACTGGCAGGATTGCCAATAAATGTTACTCCATACCCAAACCATAATCTTAGCTGTCAAATAAAATTACTGCACGTTTTGACATGGGAGAACTGTTTGTTACTTGGTGCTTGTGGAAATAAAATGACCTTGTTAAACACTGAGATAGGATTTGCGCATGCTTCGTATTCACATGTTGTTTGTCTGTCACTCTCCACTCCTCAAAATGTTAAACACAGCCTCCAAGTAATAACAAAGCTGTGAGTAAGACACACAAAGTTCCTGATGACTGTCATTAGCATGTCCTGCTGTCCCAGGAAAGCACTGCTGACTGGTACCAGGGCTGGGCACTGCCTGGGCTTAATTCTGTCTCCAGTGTAAC